GTTTATAGCATCTCGTATACATATTTGGAGAGTACATACTAGTCACACGTACAACTTTTGGTTGCCTATTTAAGTAGACAACAAATTATTAACTAATTAACTTATATAAATAGTATATATTTGTCATATATATAATTTGTCACACCCCAATAGCAAACAAGTTTCAATTACTTGTTGTTAATACTATATTACTTACAATTCACTATCTAATACTTTCTAACCCTAAACCTAAATCTGCCAATTACTACTACTAACAAATACTTTTTAACTTGAAACCCTAACCCTAAATCCACCAACTAACTACTACTAACAAATACTTTCTAACTTGAAACCCTAACCCTAACTAACTAATTAACGAATATATACTTTCTAACTCTAAACCCTAACCCACTAACTACTAACTAACTAATATATACTTTCTAACTTTAAATCCTACCCTAACCTGCTAACTACTAACTAATATATACTTTCTAACTATAAATCTTACTCTAACCCACTAACTAACAACCCACTACTAACAACCCACTAACTAACAAACTAATAATACTTTCTAACTCTAACCATCTAACTACAATATACTCTAACTCTAATCTAATAATCAACCACTAAACTAGCTACTTAATAACTTGCTAATTATAATCCACTAATTACAATATTGCTAATCTAATACAATTACCCACTAATCTACTTAATAACTTGCTAATTATAACTTGCTAACAACAAATTTTTAAATCTAATATTCTAACTACCAACTTTCTAATTCTAATATAAACTATTTAGAATAACTTTAACTGCCAACTTACTAATTCTAATCCACTAACTTTAATTAATATTAATTACAATCTTACCAATAATAACATATGAAGTTTTTGCCTTGAAAATAACCTTATAGAATATAGTAAATACTATGTTCTATAAGGTTATTTTCAAGACAAAAACTTCATATAACTTCAGATAAGTACTTATTTGCAAATATATAACAATTCAAAGTAATTAGTAGATATTAAAAGCAATAAATATCAATTTATGTGCATATATATATCTCAATAGCACAATATCCTATATCTAAAAAGAATATGGAATTTGATTTTTTTGATGCCATTTTTTATATCTGGCTTTATTATGTCCAACTTTATGATATTGCTGATATTCTGTAGGTTTTCACCCTTTAGTTTTCTGATACTCTGCATTTTTCTGTTTTACCTCATGTGATTCTTTAAATCTTGTTTTGTGTGGAGCACCTTTTCTTGTATGAACAATAGGATTCTGAATTAAAGATGGATTTATATTCTCAATATCTTGAGAATCTAATTTATCATTATCATAATTTAAGTCAGAACTATCAAAGCCATCAGATTCATCAGAGCTGTCTGGTATATTGTAAGATTTAGCTAACAAAGTTCTAGGGTGATTTCTGATTTGGTGTATATTTTGTTATAAAGTTTTTTATAAAATCGTTTAACTCTTGTATTGCCAACAGTTCTATATTCAACCCCAATTGAATCACTTTTTTCAAAAGTCCATTAGCTGTTGCATATTCTTTTCATTGATTTAAAGAATTATAAACATGTTCATAAAGAATATTAACCATTTTATAAGGAATTTCTGGAAAGGTTTCAGTTTGTAAGGTATTAACAGAAGGTTCCTGAAAGCTATTAGTAAAAGGTTGTTGACAAAGGATTGAGGTAGGTTCACGTTGTTTTTCATCATTATACTATCGTTTAGATATTAACATTACATGAAATTTTGCATACATTGAATTTTCTAATAGGCAAAAAAAGTGATAGCAAACGATACCACATCGGACAAGATCCAGACATGTACAAAAGTGGGATTTATTATCAAAAAGAACAACATAATTTTTTTTTGTACATCTATAGCGAACAAGTTCCCAGATCTCAACAATGTTATTATATCTATCGGTTAGAATAAGCTCTTTTAAGACTATTAATAGAATGTCAATAGTATCTTCAATTAAACCAGTATTAAGTGACTTATCTTCATTCTCAATCTCCAAAGTGCAATTCTTATCAACTTGTTGAGGAGTGTACCTAATATATTTTTTTATAACAGGTTGTAAAATCATAACTAATAATTACTCAACAGGTCATAGCAAATTATAATCCAATGCTGATAATAACTATATGGACTGCAGTCAATTAAAATCAAACAAATTTATTTCATAAATCTGCTTAATTTTTATTGATTGCAGCCTATATAAAAGGACAATAAGTAAAGTAACATACTAGATGGCTTGTGCTATTTCTTGTCTTTGCATAGAAAGAGCAGCGGGAGTTAAATAGTCAACAATTAATTTATCAATTATAGGTGAAAAGTCATGACTTGAATGTATAAGCGTTGAACCAGTTACGGAATAAACCCAATTTTTATATTGTATTGTAGTAGATACATGATTGAGTTGTATTTCAATTTTTTTAAAAAGATCTAAGAGAGATATGTAACTATTAATAGCACTTTTAATTATCGCATTTTGCCCTTCTATTCTTTGTATACTTTGAATCTCTTCTGTAAAAATACGTGAAATATAAAAAAAAGCCCATTTATGTTTTTGAGAACCAAGCGCTCTATTAAGATATAATTCTGAGGGGGTATTATTCAAGTAAAGAGTTCCAAAGATGGTCAAATTCAGTTTGAGATACTGTATTCCTCATTTTATACCAAGCTTTAATAAAATTATTATATTCTAAACCCAACTTAGACTTTAAATTCTTTAATAAATTTTGTCCAATATGGTATATACAATGTACATAGTAAGTATCAGGCATTATATTTGCAATTGCAGTATCAATAGCAAGGTTATTGTCTGTTATAATAACCAAAGGGAAGACATTTGTTTCTTATTAAGTGAATTAAATACCCATTCAAAACTCTCTAAAGTTTCATCAGTCATTAACGTTTGCCCAACTAACCTAGATCTATTATGATTATCAACTATAACAAAAAGCCCAAGCGTTATTTTAAATTTATTGGTAGAGTAAGTATTATCATATTGTACAATATCACTATATTATAAGTAAAGTTCATATTGTTCTGGGGTCATCCAAAATATTGATACTAAAGTGTTTGTTGCTAGGTCTACACGTCAATTTATAGTCTATCTAATATCCTTAGCTTTACATTCAATAAGGTGATTAACTAGTATTGCAGCTTCATAATCAACCTTTTGTTCGGTTTTAACCTTTTGAATAGCATTTGACAGGTCTTGGAATAAAAAAATAAATATTTTCATATTTAGCTTCAAGTAATTGCCGTTAAGTACGCATATTAAGATTCCCTTTTGTTATCCAAAACTCTATATCAGCAAATATTGACTCAGTTAACGTTCGATAAGTAAGACCAAATTTACTAGTAAGGGGATCTAAAGGATGGTCTCCATGTTCTAAACTTAAGGTGGTGATACTAATAATACTAGTTGTTTTTGGACATGTAGTATTTATGAACCATGGACATCCACTACATTTAGAACATGTATTACGCTGGTTTTCAACAATCATCATTTTTTTTTTTCCTTGATAATTACCCTGATATTCACATTTATAACAATAATGTCTTCTTACTCCATTATCATATTCTGCACTATAAATAACTTTAGAAAAGTTTTTGGAATTACAATAAATATCAATATATCTATCAATTTCTGTCCATGATTTAAACCACATACCAGATACTAGTATCGAAATTGATAAAAAGAGTTTAGGTATATTAATAATACTATCAGATAATTGTTCATTATTAATAAGCAGCTTTAGGGAATTTAAGTTTAAATTTTCATTAGCAAAACTATCATAATAAAAGAGTAGGTAAATGACTAATGAATTAAATACTAGATCTATTCAAGTATATGAAAGTTAAAACTATAGTAGCTTATTAATAAGCTACTATAGTTTTAACTTTCATATACTTGAATAGGCCTACTACAATATTTCACTAAATAAATTACTAATAATAACCTTGCTTCATATATATCATATATATCTTCATCTTGCATTATTAATACTTAGATGAAACGGCTAAAACTAATAAAACTAAAGTAAGTAAATCAATATTATATAATTGCTATAATGTTTAATTGAAGCTAACTAATAACTACCTTGCTTTATATATTTTGTAGATAGAATGAATAGGACGGCTAGTTTGAATGTGATGGCTGGTTTGAATATGACAGCTGGTTTGAATATGATGGCTGGTTTGAACGTGATGGCTGGTTTGAATGTGATGGCTAAACGGCTGAAACGAATAGAACAACTGGAACCAACAGAACTGTGGTAAGTAACCCAATAATATATAGCTATTGTAATGTTTAATTGAAAAAGATAGCTAATAACCTACCTCATTTTATAGCTAAAACACCTGGAACACCTGAAATACCAAACCACTTGGAACACCCAAAATACCTGAAACTAGAAACAACAGAATTGTAGTAAGTAACCCAATAATATATAGCTGTTGTAATGTTCAATTAAAAGAGATAGCTAATAACTCACCTCGTTTTATAGCTAAAGTACCTAAAACACCTAGAACACCAAAATATCTGGAATACCAAAACTCTAGGACCAATAATGGAACAAGTAAGTAACCTAATAATATACAATCACTGTAATATTTAATTGAAGAAACTTGCCTACCTTGTTATAATGGATCGCTAGATGGCTAGAATAAATGTGATAGCTGGTTTGAATACGATAGCTAGAATGAATGGGACGGCTGGAACAAATAGGATGGCTGGTTTGAATATAATGGCTAGAACGAATAGAACAACTAGAGCTGACAGAACTGTGGTAAGTAAACTAATAATATATAGCTGCTATACTATTTATCTTACTAGTAACCTACCTTGGTTATACGTTTAATACTTATACACCAACAAAATGCAAGTGTCTTAATTTTTTACTTTGCATCATGAAAAAAAAAATTACAAATGTCTATCATGCTAGTGTTGTCAAGGATAGAATAACCAGTGTAGTATAGAACTACTTAAGTTCAACACAAAGGTTATCAAACAATTTGCTTGCACTTTACATTAACTTTGGTTTGTTCTCTTATATAAAAGACTAACATCTAATCGATATTTTTTTTTTATATACATATACATATTATACATTACACTAATAATTATACAATTTACTATTACTCTTATATTACACAAGCTACATATAGCCATCGGCTATACCTATATTTATTCTTAAAAATTTTTAAACAAAAACTTTAAAATTTTATTATTTAAAAATTTATTAATAATTTTAAAAAATTTTATAATAAAGTTTATAAAATATATTTTTTAATAAGAGCTTTATAATAAGGGTGTGGCGACTTAGTGAAGTGGTTAAGTTGTCGCACCCCCAAGCGATATGTCGGCAAGGTAGGGGGTTCGAAACCCACCAGTGATGAATTTCAAATATTCTACTTGTACAACAGCTACTGTCTTTTAACGATCAGTTGGAACAGGATCTCTATAACCTTGGTGGTACCAACAAGATTAGAAGATCACAGGGCATTCATGTAATGTATGAGTTACACAAATATTCCGGATCGTGTTAATTCAAGGAATCGAAAAAATGGATACCCGCTTGGCAAGACCTGAGTAGAGAGGTAGCACAGATCTTTGACGATGCTATGTAAAAGATTGCTATCGGAGAACTAGCAAAAACTAAACGAGGACCAGTGTATGGCAAGGCACCCCACCAACCAGGCCACCGGACTAAGTCTGTCGAAACCGAAAGAAAAGGATCTGCTTAATTGCAGATACTAGAAGAAAAAATCTCTTCCAGGCTATCTGGATTGGTAGTTTGGGATAGTTAGAGATATAGTTGATAGTCTATAAAGTGGGTACTGGGATTTGGGTAAACTCTACAAGGGGGAGTAGGTAACTGTAGCGGCT